CCCTCTCCGGCCAAATAATGACCCCCGCCACCCTGGCCAAATAATGACCCCCCCCCCCCATGGGCCCCTTTCCCAATGCATACTAATTGTTTTCCCTTATCTTAAATTATAACTCACCCAAGTCCACCATCCGGGTACCTTACTGGTGTCTGTTCGGGGTGCCCGTGACCCTTAATCGAGCACTGCAGATGTAGCAGTGCCTGCTGATCACTCCCCTCGTCCTGCGCCACCATTGCAGACTCCTCCCCTGGATAGGAAGTGTCCTGCCCATTGTGTGTAATGGGAGGCTCTCCATACATGTGCCTGATGTGTCACTGCCCCTCCCCTTGCTTTCTCTGTGCCAGCTGCAGGGACAGGGTGATGCTGAAGAGGAGAAGGCCGCAGAGATGGAGCCGGAGGAAGGCGGCGGCGCGGAGGTCGATCACCCGTACCTTAACTCTAAGCTGCCGGAGGAGAACGGCGAGGCGGAACCCTTCCGCAATGGGGCAGACACGGAGACAGAGGGCGACGGAGGAGACGTCCCGCCGGGCCTGGACGAGGAGTACCCCTTCAAGTCAGGTAACGGCTGGCCCATTCCGGGTTCTTCTGTTGGCTTGTAACCTTGGGGGCTGTCAGAGCTCAGTCTGCCGGGATGGGGGACGCATTGGTGGTCTTTCTATGGAAAGCTGCAAATTACTGCGTTCCCCCAAATTCAGATCAGAGCTCGAAAATGGAAAGCCATCCATCTGTGGAGGGATGGGGTGAAAAGGGTAAAAAAGGAGAAGTGTGCTTTGCCTTGAAGTACTTTTATCCTTTAAAGCTGTACTTACCTCGCGGACAGAATGTACACACGCGTGTGGCAGTATTGAGTCAGGTGACTCGGTGGGTAAGGGGACACGTGTATGTATGATATAGATGGGGGGGTGCCATGCTTCCTGTCATGGGGGTGCAATGCATTTGGTGTGATGTTTCCTCCCATCGTCTTATCTAGGTGTCAGCCCGGCAGAGCCGCCCGCCGACGTGTCCCAGGACGCTCCAGCAGTGCCAGCATCTTACGTGCCCCATGACGGCAAGCGTCAGTATGACCGGGACTTCCTGCTGGGCTTCCAGTTCATGCCGGCCTGTGTGCACAAACCCGAAGGCTTGCCGCCCATCAGCGACGTGGTCCTGGACAAAGTGAGGAGAGAGGGAGGTGCAGTCCCGTGTGTGTCGTCTGTCTGTGATCTGGGGGTGTCATTGTCCCCTCACACGAGGAGAGGGGTGCGCTCCCCCCTGGGGTCGGGTGGGTTGTGTCGTCTGTCTGGGATCTGGGGGTGTCATTGTCCCCGAGGAGAGGGGTGCGCTCCCCCCTGGGGTCGGGTGGGTTGTGTCGTCTGTCTGGGATCTGGGGGTGTCATTGTCCCCGAGGAGAGGGGTGCGCTCCCCCCTGGGGTCGGGTGGGTTGTGTCGTCTGTCTGGGATCTGGGGGTGTCATTGTCCCCGAGGAGAGGGGTGCGCTCCCCCCTGGGGTCGGGTGGGTTGTGTCGTCTGTCTGGGATCTGGGGGTGTCATTGTCCCCGAGGAGAGGGGTGCGCTCCCCCCTGGGGTCGGGTGGGTTGTGTCGTCTGTCTGGGATCTGGGGGTGTCATTGTCCCCGAGGAGAGGGGTGCGCTCCCCCCTGGGGTCGGGTGGGTTGTGTCGTCTGTCTGGGATCTGGGGGTGTCATTGTCCCCGAGGAGAGGGGTGCGCTCCCCCCTGGGGTCGGGTGGGTTGTGTCGTCTGTCTGGGATCTGGGGGTGTCATTGTCCCCGAGGAGAGGGGTGCGCTCCCCCCTGGGGTCGGGTGGGTTGTGTCGTCTGTCTGGGATCTGGGGGTGTCATTGTCCCCGAGGAGAGGGGTGCGCTCCCCCCTGGGGTCGGGTGGGTTGTGTCGTCTGTCTGGGATCTGGGGGTGTCATTGTCCCCGAGGAGAGGGGTGCGCTCCCCCCTGGGGTCGGGTGGGTTGTGTCGTCTGTCTGGGATCTGGGGGTGTCATTGTCCCCGAGGAGAGGGGTGCGCTCCCCCCTGGGGTCGGGTGGGTTGTGTCGTCTGTCTGGGATCTGGGGGTGTCATTGTCCCCGAGGAGAGGGGTGCGCTCCCCCCTGGGGTCGGGTGGGTTGTGTCGTCTGTCTGGGATCTGGGGGTGTCATTGTCCCCGAGGAGAGGGGTGCGCTCCCCCCTGGGGTCGGGTGGGTTGTGTCGTCTGTCTGGGATCTGGGGGTGTCATTGTCCCCGAGGAGAGGGGTGCGCTCCCCCCTGGGGTCGGGTGTGTTGTCTCCTCTATATAACCCCGGCGTGTGACACTAAAGAACCTTCTCCCCCGGAGGGTTCACAATACGAGACGTTCCACCAGTCCAGGTGGAGGAATGTCACATGCGTTATAGTGACGCATGTCTCCCGATCGTCTAATAAGAACGTCCCTTTGACCCTTTTTAGGCCGTTTTGTGTCATTTTCCCGCCACCTGACGCAGAAATCTACGCATTTCAACGTGTTTCCCTCCACCCACAGATTAATCAGCCGAAGTTACCCATCAGGACTCTGGACACGCGCATGCTGCAGAAGGGGCCGGACTTCACCCCGGCATACGCGGATTTTGGACGGTTATCCCCAGGGGGTCGTGGGGTGCCTGTAAGTATTGTCTTTAGTATACCCAATGCCGGGGTACCTCCAGCAGGTCAGATCAGATGGTGGTGAGGCCAGCTAGCCTAGGGAGGCCTCATACTGAGCACTGGTGGGGAGGCCAGCTAGCCTAGGGAGACCTCATACTGAGCACTGGTGGGGAGGCCAGCTAGCCTAGGGAGACCTCATACTTAGCACTGGTGGGGAGGCCAGCTAGCCTAGGGAGACCTCATACTGAGCACTGGTGGGGAGGCCAGCTAGCCTAGAGAGACCTCATACTGAGCACTGGTGGGGAGGCCAGCCAGCCGGGAGGGGCCTCATACTGAGCACTGGTGG